AATCTCAGTTTTCATCCTCAATTGATATAGGATCTTACAGACCACATTCAACGAAAATAACGAATTTCTTTATATAATTAACAATAATCATCAATTTATTAAAAATTTACAAAATATAAAAATTTCGAAAATTATATTATATTTATATTTTTACAACAAAAAAAGAAGAAGAATACATAGAAGTGGATTCAATTATTAATGAATCCAAGAACATGTGAGTATATTCTAATCTTTGACTAAAGAAGAAGAGAGTGGTGAGTGTTGCCAAAGCTTATATCATGCACATATATATATATATATATATATATATATATGTGCATGATATATATATATATATATAATATAATTTTATAAAAAAAATACTATATTATTGATTTTACTAAAAAGTAAAATTGTCAGAGAATTTTATTAATTAAACATAAAATAAATTAATTATTACCTTTTTTTCTAAATTTTGTTTATGCATTTAATTTATAATAAAATCAATTTTTATTGAATTTGAAATAAAATCAAACATTAAAATGTTAAATTTTTATTTGTTGTTTCAAAGAAAAAAAACCATATTATTTACTATTCAATGGTACTTTACTTTAAACATATGGATTTTATTGGCTTTTCAAAAAGGTTTTGGAAGTTGTAGCATACATGATTATATAACTTAGATTGACCAAAACTTTGTGCAATTCCATAAAGAAAATTCCATGCTTACAAATCCTCATGCAAACTTATTTTTAATTATTTTTTGGAATTGGACAAATTACATGAAAAAATAACGTATTTTAATTTGATTTTTATTTTTTTATTAATCTGGATATCCAATTCGCTATGCGAGCCGACTAATCTCATGGCGACCATCTGCTTTGCAGATAGCTCGGAGTCACCGCATTTGAACCTCCGTGTTTACAAGGGGATGACGTATTTTCAAAACTTTCATTTTGGTACCTAAGATATAAAGTTAAACATTTAAGTATCTAGGTAATCGGTGGAAACATTAACCGGTTATCATGCTGATGTGGTATCCAACTCAGTATTATTTGTTGACGTGGTTAATGATATGGATTTTTTTTAATCTAAAATTAGTCTTCAACCTGATGTGACGAGTGATGTGGTATACAACTCAGTATTATCTGTTGACATGGTTAGAGACATGGATTTTTTTAATTTAAAATTAGTTTTCAACCGATTACCCAGATGCTTAAATGCTTGAAATTTTTTACCATAGACATTTATTAAATAATTAAATTAAAAATAGGGTATATATTGTTAGTTTTATGGATACTTGTGTACACAAGTACATAAATCTTGTTGAAAGAAAGATATTTGGTGGGTCCCATGGTTTATTACTTTTTCTTGCAATTACTTAATAAATAAAATAATTATAAAATTAATAATACTTATTTATTTCATATAATAATAACTTTATAAAGCATTATAAGAATTCTTGTTTATATTTTTACCTTTCTTGACCATTAAAGAAGGTAAAAAAAAATTCCAGTCCAAAAACATCTTAATCCAGAGAAACATAGCTTTCATGACTTGTACACTATGTAGTAAAATTTATATGATATTCTGTCTTTATTAGTTTTAGGTCTGGAAAAGGATTTGGACATAAAAGAAAGCTAGTTATGCCTTGTAGCTTTTTCAGAACCGTAAAAATGCAGAAACAAATACCAAACACATTTATATGTATGTATATTCATGATACATGGTATGCCATACATCATGATGTACACACATGATACATAGTATATTTCTAAGTTTATGTGTATGTGTATGTGTACATATATACATGCATACACATGTATGTGTTTATCATTCGAGCGGAAGGTCATTGTTAATAACAATCATCATGTCATCGTTGTCTCATAAAGCGCAATCAGCTAAATACAGACCCGACGTTTTAGAGACTCGGAATGTTATAAGAAAAAGGGCGTCAAAAATAAATCTCAATAAAAGAACTCCGATATACTCTTTTATTTATGTGTCAACACGTAATATATTATATTTAGTATTAACATATTTCATCTGTCGGCATATAATACATATTCCATTTTTACTACATTAGTAACAACAGCTACAACATCTATGTATATGAATATGTATATATGTAGCTATCATGCATATGAACTGGTTGTAATATATATATATACGGGTCCATTGAAAGAAAATATCATAGAAACTTAGCAGTAAATTGCAACTGTATGACTTGTAGTAGAACCCCATTTTATTAGGTTTAAATTAAGTATTGTTGAAAGAAGATGATTGTAGGAGAATGCGTGAAATAGATGGATGTCGTGAATTAGGGGTCATAGTGATCTTTTGCAAATACGTTAAAATACTGAGAAAATGTAAACGGATAAGACAACTCATTTGACTGAAGTTAACAGAGCAACATAACGTCTGTTAGTGCGAGGGACAAAATCCAGAACAAGTTGCAAACATGCAGAACAAATTTCTTATAAACGAAGTTCAGGGGTGAAATCTGAGAAAAATATTGAATGTCAGGGATAGTTTTTGTATTTAACTCTAAACATTATAACCACAATAACAAATGAAGTTTTAGGGACGGTGTTAGTTATAAATAATTAGATTGACCTATATATTATTCGATTAACGGTTTGACTAATTACCAACTTTAACGTCACTGATGTAGAATGTTAACTTTTTCGTTTTCAGTGATATGTCTTGTAATTTTTGCTGATAATACAATATCCAGAATCCAGATTATAAGAGAAATAACAGTATAAAACCAACTAATACTGTCATATAATTGAAATCTAATTTGATTACGAATGTCATAACTTTAAGAAAGCTAACAAGCTTTATTTTCCTATTTTAGGAAAACAAAATCACGCTACATCGATTCATTTGACGAACCAAAATATGTTGCAGGACATATCAACAGACCAAAATCTATAAATAAAAGATATTATACGACATGAAGATCTAAACAAAATACCATGACTAGAATAATAGTGTTTTGTAACACGACTTCCGGGTAAACAAGGGAAAAGCTAGAAATTTTAGATATGGAGTATGGTCGTCCAGTGTATTACTTTGATGCAAAATAACAACGATAAGAACGGGTGTTTGCAACCATGACGATGTTTGATATGCTTTCCCCGATATCAACCCACGTATACGAGACTTGCATGCTAATTGCAAACACACCCAAAATATTTCAATTATGTGATACGGTCCCATCTTCTTTACGTAGTTATAAATTTATGTTTGTTTTATTATGTCTTGATTTATTTAATTTGCAAATTTTTTGAAAACCGAGTATATAGGGTTTTCATAAATACTATTTCTAAATTGCATTAATGAATATAATTATCAATAATAGAATCACGAGAATCAACTAACCCACATAGATACGTCTATGCAAGTATGCATGGAATCCCGAGAATCTAGCACTTCGGGATCGAAATGAAAGAAATAAGGACTAGTAGTATAAACATCCAAATATGAATTGAAGTCGAAGGGCATGTTTTGTAAATTCTCGAAACTTGAGAAAATGAAGACCGGTAGTCTCATGGTAGCGGTGAAATTTGTGTGGATTGATAGAATATAGATTGTTCGTAAGAGTTTTAAATCACGTAAACACTTATCAGGTTTTTTTTTTTTTACTTACTAGATAATAATCTCAATATTTATTATACCTTTTATCAGATAAGATTACTGGTCTCAATCTTTATTATACCTTTTATCAGGTAAGATTATTGATCCTTACTCATGTGATACCAGTAAGACTTACCTGATAAACATTTAGTAAATCGGCTTTTCTGTATTAAACCTTAACATATCATGTATTTTATGGTTTTACAATTAAAGGATTATTTATTTAAAATTTATTAAATATAATAATAATTTAAAATTTCCAATATGAACAGAATTTCAATTTTTTTTTCTAAATAGTCAAAGTCTAATAAAATAATTCCCAAAATTGTCAACTTAACAAAATAAATGTTGAATTCAAAATTAGAAAAAATATTAAAAAAATAAATGGAATTTTTTTATAGTTGGAAATGAATATAAGTATTAAATAAAAGACCATTAAATAAAACAAATCAACATAAAATATAGAAATACACTTAATGTAGATTTTAAATTCTGTTATAGCAAGTTAAGGTATATATTTAATAATTTTGTCCATTTAATTTCTTTAAATTAATTCCTTTATTAATATTTTTCTTTTAATTGTTTAAAAAATTGGATTATTTTCAAATCATAATATTCATTATTTATCATTAATATTTATTATATATTATTATTTTCTTGGAAAATAATTTTTTTTCTATGTATTAAATCAGATATCTTTTGCTTGTGTAACAAATGAAATATTTAACAGTAGTAAAAACTACATGTTTGATCTGATTTGGGTTGTAAAAACGTATTATATAGATTTTGTTTTAGGTTGGGTAACCAATCATGTTGTATATACTTAATGTCACATGATGATTATATAACGACAATTAGGATAGAAATTTACTTTAAATGATATTGTACGGACCTTCCGATCAGGCTCTTTTTAGAACGAATATATGTTTGTTTGCTGTCAGTATTTTAAATTGTACGGAACTCCCGATCGAACTCTACGAATCACATCATCGTCTAATAAACCCGATTACGATCAAATATTAATACATTTTCTTGGGAACGATAATAGTGAGTCATGTATGGTAATGATGTATATGATGTATGCACATGTGATATGGGTTTGGCTGGCATGGGGTTAGTTAACATCATACATGAGCTGGATCCACACTCAACGGAGAGACCCACTTTCTAATCAGCAAGAATATTAAAATACAATTAAATAAAAAATTAATAAATAAAACCAAAAATAAATCCAAAAAGATTTAAGCACAAAACCATGTGCTAATATAAATCTCACACACACCCACTTATAATTTCTTCCCCCTTTTCCCTTCTCTCTCTTCTCTCTCTCTCTAAAAGTCGAAATCTTCCAAAAAATTCAGCTTGTGTTTGTTTCTAATTTTGTTCATTTTTCTTGAAATTGGGTTTCATCTTTTTGTCTAAAACTGGTTAAACAAATTGGGTTTGATTCAGAAAGATGAAATTTTTGTGGGTGTGATTGAGTGTTTAATTTGGGGAAAAATCAATGAATCTTGGTGGAGGTCAAGTAGTTAACAAACAATCGGTGATGCCTAGTTCAAGTGGAGCTTCTTGGAAGTCCACCGCTGCCGGCGGAAGTGGTGGCGGAGGCGGGGGCGACGGTGGTGTACCTGATCAGTTTCCGGCGGGTCTTCGGGTACTTGTTGTTGATGATGACCCGACTTGTCTCATGATTTTGGAGAAGATGCTTAGAAACTGCAACTATGAAGGTATATACATATAAACACACACTAAATACACGCTTACTGTGTGAGATTATTTGTTGTTTGATTTATTATTATTGCTTACAACTTCTAAATCTGTCTTCTTTTTTTCTTAATTTTCACTTCAATTTTCATATCATTGATTTCATCATTTCGTTTTTAACTTTTTAATTTTTGATTTTTGATTTTAATTTTAATTTTTTGCTGTATATACTGTTCTATCCATAAAAATCTCTATAAGATTACAAATCTGTGGTAGAAAATTGAAGTAAACAAAAACCCAATTAGATTTAGGGTTCATAAACGTAATGAAATCTTCAGATTCAAAAATAGTTCACAACAATTAAGGGAGAAGATGACGTCAATGTTCTACATGTTTCATTAGGTCAAACCTTTGATGATTTTTCAACATAATTTGACATTTGATTTCTTGTAAATTATCTACTTCTAAATTGAAATTTAGCTTTAATCTGTGTGATAATTGGTTCATGTTGGTTTGATTTTGATTTCTTGAACTCATAATTGATTCAAAGTTCTTGAATTTTGGTGAAATTTTACAGTGACTAAATGCAACAGAGCTGAAGTTGCCTTATCATTTCTGAGGGAAAATAAAAATGGATTTGATGTGGTTATAAGTGATGTTCATATGCCTGATATGGATGGATTCAAACTTCTTGAACACATTGGGATTGAAATGGATCTCCCTGTTATCAGTAAGTCAACCCCTCTAATTTTGACTTTTATGTTTTCAATCCCAACTTCATGTTTCATTGGGTTTCAATTTCTTGATTTGCCCCTTTTATCGAATAGAATTCTCAATGAAATTTTTGATAAATTCATTTCTTGATTAGACGAATCAAAATGCTGATAATCAAGATTTTGAATCTGGCCTAATTTTTCTATTTTCCAGCCGAAAAGGGAAGTGATTTTCGTTATTAGAATGATGTTATATTAATACCCTTTATGACAAATGTATTGAAATATCGGTTTTTGGATGGGAAGTATGATTATTTGAAAAAATTCGATCGGTTTTTGGTGGTAAAAGACTATCTTACTTGACTGTCGAGTTCGTAAAGCTTACTTTCTTATGATTGAGTTCACAGTGATGTCGGCTGATGACAGCAAGAGTGTCGTTATGAAGGGAGTGACTCATGGGGCGTGTGATTATTTAATAAAGCCGGTTCGTATTGAGGCATTACGTAATATATGGCAACACGTGGTTCGGAAACGGAAACACGAGTGGAAAGATTTCGAGCCATCAGCAAGTGCTGACGAGCAGAAACCACCTGAAGAACCCGACTACTCGTCTTCTGCAAACGAAGGGCATAATTGGAAAAACACAAAGAGGAGGAAAGATGAGGATGACGAAGGGGAGGATAGAGATGATTCTTCTTCTTTGAAGAAGCCTCGTGTTGTTTGGTCCGTTGAGCTCCATCAACAGTTTGTGGCAGCCGTTAATCAGCTCGGAATCGATAGTATGCTATTCAATTTCATATCTTCGTAAACTGCACATTCTTTTCCAATTGTTAACTTGTTGATTCAATTATTAATATGTCCTTTATTCCGGAATCTGATATGAATGCAGAGGCTGTTCCAAAAAAAATCTTGGAGCTGATGAATGTTCCTGGATTAACTAGAGAAAACGTTGCGAGCCACCTTCAAGTAAACACCTTTTTCGGTTTCCCCGATCTTTTTTAAGTAAACTTTCAATCAATGTGCTAACGGGTTGCTATGGTTTCTAAAAATGGAAAGAAAAACGCATTCTTTTTTCAATTTTGACTTTGTTTTTGTTCGTTGTTGACTTGTTATGTGATGCATTGAAGACCTTTGTTCCTCACAACTGCAAGAATTTGGTGCAGAAATACCGTCTTTATCTTCGAAGACTCAGCGGGTCCCAGCATCCAGGCGGGATGAACGCCAGCTTTATGGGAGGTCCGGATGCAGGCTACGGGTCCATATCATCACTCAACGGGCTTGATCTTCAAGCTCTAGCCGCCAGTGGTCAACTTGGTCAACTCCCACCTCAAAGTCTTGCAACCCTCCAAGCTGCGGCTCTCGGCAGGTCAACTAACTCCAAATCTCCTATTTCTGCGCCCGTTATCGATCAAAGAAACATTTTTAGCTTCGAAAACCCGAAATCGAGATACACGGAAGTCCAAAGTCAACATCTGACTAATAGTAGTAGTAGCAAGCAGATGAATTTACTTCCTGGGATTCCTACAAACATGGAGCCAAAGCAGTTTGTCAGTTTGCAGCATCAATCTGGGCAGCATTCTTTTGGGAGCATAAACAATCAAGTTCTGATTCAGATGGGTGGTCAAAGTCAAAGTCAAAGTCATAGTCATAGTCATAGTCATAGTCAAGGTCAATCGAATACGAACCCTCATCACGGCTTGAGACCGCCTGTTTTGTCGAGCGAGATGCTGACACGTGGTGGAGTAGTTGACATGGCAACAACGGTGTATAATCCTGTGGTATCACAAGCCTCGTCTCTTGTGGATTTCTCGATGAATCATAAAAATGATTCGTCCGGGAGTAGTTATCCGCTCGGGGGTAGTTTGGGAATTCCAAATCTTGCGTCTGCAACACCAACCCCCCTCCAAGGAGACGGGAACTTAGATACCAAGGTCCCGAGAAGAGGGATTGTTTCAAGTTATGATATTTTTAACGATATAAATCCGAGTGGAATACGTGAATGGGGTTTACAAGATGTCGGTATGACCTTCGATTCGGCTCAACATACAATGCAAGGAGGATCAGGTCCAGTGTTACTTCAACATAACCGTTCTTCTGAGCGGGAAATGGGAGGGCAGAACCGTAATTCTACTAGTGGTAAGGCGATATTCTCTCCAGGGGTTGAAACCGGAAGCCACCGGAATGTTGGTCAACAACGGAACAGTTATGTGGCGGAGAATTCATTGAGGGTGAAAGCGGAAGATGGTAGCTCTCATAATAATACATTATATCCTGAACAATATGGAGATGATCTGTTAGCTGCGATTCTAAAGCAAGTATGTTTTCGGGTCCATATCTCTCTTAATCTTTTGACTTCAATCCGAATTTTTATGACTGCAAATCATATAGAAACCGTCTAAAAGTCAGAAAAAATGAAAACCAGTTTCATGGATGAAACAACACATGAGAAATCGACCAAAACCATCCGATGAATTTGATTTTAAGGTATGGGGTTAGGTTCAGGGGAAAACTGCAAAAAAAATGAAAAACTGAGGATCACCTTGCTAACCATTCATCTAGACGGTATGCACATGTGCATACAAGCAATTTGTCGGGTATGCATATGTGCATAACATGCACACGTGCATAAAAACCAAGAAACGACTTCAGTTACTTGTATGCACATGTGCATACCGTCCACATGAATGGTTATCATAGGATTCCTCAATTTTTTTTCATCTTTTTAAGGTTAAGTTAGGATTCAAATATCATGTTTTGTTCATGTATGTGAATATTTTTGTGTTTTTTTTTTCACATGCAAAACATTCATTGACGTTTCATCTATGAAACAAACAACACTGTATGAATACTGCATGTTCACATGCACATATAAACTGGTTTTCACGGTTTCTAAACTTGTCCTCATCTTCGGTAAGGTTTGAACCAATAACCTCTTGAGAGGTTGGGTTTCACCAGTAGCTTGGATACTCTGGACCGATGGCTCTGGTAAATACTATTAACGTTGTTGGATTATCTTGTGATGCAGCACCACCAGCAGCAACAGCAAGGTGTTGGACAGTCGGAAACGGAGTTTGGGTTTGATGGGTACGCGATGGATAATCTACCGGCATAAGTAGTAGGAGATGTACTCTGTGCTTCAAATGGTGTACATATGCTGCTGCTGCTGCTGCTGCTGCCAAAAGTATAAGAAGATTTGTTGAAATTTATTGCTGGTAGCTGCGTGGTTTTTATGATTATGGTTATGATACAAGCACAATATGCAAAGGCATAGGTGCCCAAATTTTTGACTGCTTTAATTTAGGGAACATGAAAAAACCACCTTATTAGCAACAAAAAACATGATTTCTAGGATTTGAATAATATGGAGTTTTGTGCTTGTTTTTTAAGGTTTTATTTGGTCCCATTTTATAGTTTATTGTGCATATAAACTGTATTTAATGATTGATGAAACCACTACTTTTATTGGAACATGCTCATCTTCTGGAAAAATGGTCGTTTGTTAAACACTTATTCGATTATCTTACCGGATGAACATAACAAGGATAGAGAATGTTACCTGGTAAGAGTGATGATAAGAATAGAGGAATGTTACCTGGTAAGAGTGATGATAAGAATAGAGAGTCTTATAAAGTAAGTGAGGTTGATGACTCTCACTCGGTAAGTACTTATCAAATAAATTATTACATACAGTACTGTTTTGATGGATTGCAATCTTACTTTATAAAGTATATGTTAGAGTGTTGACGTTTACCTGGTAAACATTTGTGTAAACGACTCCTTTATTGATGCTAAAAGTGTTATAGTCTAGCAACAGGTCATATCCCATTAATGCGATAAAAGGCTAAATAAATGTGTTACAATGCTTCTTGATGAGCAGGGACGGTCCCATAAATTATTTTAAAAGGCGGCACCATTTGATCATAAGAAAAAAAATATAGGAATTTTTTTTCAAATGGTGACACCAATTAACTATGAAAATGACACTAACATGATTCGGACTTGGGTGTAGGGTGGAATAAAAACCTTGTAAACCAACACTATCAAATAGAACTTGTTCTCATTGTAGTTTCAAAATACATACGGTGACACACAATAAATTAATATGGTTGCACCGTTCACGAAACCTAATTTTTATCTTTCGACGAAGAAATAATAGAGTGATACGTGTCACCTATACCACATCCTTAGGTCCATCCATGTTGATGAGTCAAGAATATTAAAGCATATGATAAATCTCATCTTAACTCCAATAAAACCTAAATTTGATATATGTTGTGTTTTAATTGGTTGAATATTTAATAGCTTAAAAAGTTGTAAAAGTAAATATTAAATTAAATTTGTTTGGTATAATAAAATATAAAAGTGTTAAATATAACGAATTTATAAAAGCTGATAAATATACACACACAAAATTATAGTTAAGAAAATTATATAAATGTTAAAAATTTATTTTATTTATTTAATAAAATAAATAAACATACATATCCTCGTCATCTTTGGTGAGGTTTAAATCTTCAATCTTCTAAAAAACCAAAGACTCAAATACCGCTAAGCCAAAGACCTTTTGATATTAATAAAATGGTACCAGTACAATGCAGCGAGATACAACTCAATTTTAATATTTATTTTTATTTTTTGTGTCTAAATCAATGTTATAATACGGTTTTATGTGGTTTTGAGAAAACGATAATGGTTTTATTTTTGAATAAAATGTAAATATGAAGATATATCATAAAAAATTGAAAAAAAATGATTGATATGGGTACCAAACTAACTATTTAAAAAATTTCGTTTTTCTATGTATTTCTTTGATTATTTTTTTATTTTTGGTTTAATAATATAACTTTTTATACAAATAATAATTAAGTATTTTATTAAAACTCAATTATTATCCTAATTATATTTTTATATTTAAAATGAGACGTTTATCTTCTATTTGATTATGTTTATCTGTATTAGTTATATAAATTCAGACATGAAGGTTTAATAAATTGTAGATAGACACAATTTACTTGTAATATTGAATATTAAGTATTATTCATCAATAAATAGTATTTCATGCGTAAAAATGGGTTTTAATTTTTTTTATCAAATGCTTTATAATATAGTATAAATTATCTATCTTATCAGCTAAATTTTATTAAACATACAGTTTTGCCGGTTAATTATTTACCAACAACTAATTTATCAGCTAATCAATCACATAAAAAAAAAAAAAAAAGTAAGGAATTAAGATTCAGTTGATCACAAATATGATGTTATAATAAATATGAGAGAGGCACAGGCAGTACAACAATTCTATACAAATCAGTGTTCCATATTTTCCTTTTCCTTAAAAAATAAAATAAATCTACAAAAATCAATCTCCATAGCAACTAATGTTGCATCAACACCACCACCATCATCAACGCCACAATACCGGAAAACACCACACTCAATTCCGGCCGGTAAGAACCGCTGGTCGGAATAACTCGTGGAAGTGCACACTCTTCGCCGTTAAAGAAAACTTTCATCGGAAACCCGTCGCCACCAGCCACGTTGATTCCGGGGGTCAGTTTCTTCGTAAATGAGATCACTGATTGTTGTTTCCCCGGTACCCTCGGATCTTTCTTCGGGTTATCTCCGTCAACTTCCGCCACCAAATAGTTCAGTCCCGGAAGACCCTGCATAAATATCGTATCGTTCACCCCATTCAACTCGAGAGCACTTGCGTTGAATGAGTACGCTTTCTCGAACCCAGGGGCAGATTTGTCAAATTCGGCAGCCACAAACCAGTCAGCGAAAGAAGTCTCGTCCCAGTTGAAGAGGGTGATCCGGGCAGACCATCCTCCGCGATAGTCGGTGAGCAGGTGCCAGTTGAGACTGACTCCACAGTGATCACCACAAGGCAATGGGTTCGGGATGGTCCGGCGTTGGAGGCTGGCCCATGCGGTTGAGAGTGCGGTTCGGTTATCAAACGGAACGAGAAGAGCTTGAGCCGGGAGAAACAGAGCTGGTGCGGTGGTACTGCATGTTCGCGAGTTTGTGCTACTCGGGCAACCACAAGCACAAGTTGGGCAAGGGATGATGGACTCGTTGTAGTAAGCAGAGAATGACACGCAGCATCGGGGGCTCGAACCTTTCGCTTGTGTGATATTGCAGACCACTTGCCAGCTAGAGACCGCAGTCGAGCCAGGTAGTCCACTAGGGTCCTCGAACTGGCTTGGGCTAACGCGTACCGGCGGGCCACATTTGTAATCCGGGTTTAGCCTGCCACTGATTTTGAAATTCTGAGGGGGAATGAGTTCAGACCGGTTCAAATCCGGAGGCATCTTGAAAACTTCTAACTGGAAAGCCGATTTCGACTTGCTGGGATCCATGGTCGGGGGCAAGATCGTGCCATTCCGGCAACAAAACGGAATGTTTCCCCGTTGGGTATTGTTGGTCATTTCGAGGGGTAAGTCGATCAGCGTGGGCCGTCTTTCGCAATTCAAAACATTCGAGAAATCCATTCTTTGGTAGAATGCACCTTGTGGACCGAAGATGCACTCGGATGAATCACGAGTGAAGGGATACGCTCCTTTTATATCGTTGATGAACTCATCCCGCATCCAGTCCCAGGTTAGGTTCCAATTATCGAGCCGACCAAGAGAATTATGGTTCTCAATGGTCACCTCGGCCCAGTAATTTGACTCGTAGGTTCGGATCACATCGTACATGATCGTGAGATCGCCAGATTGGCGTGGAAGAAACTCGTCTCCTACAGTCACGTTGGTTACTGCATCTGGATCTTTCCTACAGCAAACTTGCATAACTCGTGTCCCTGGAAGATTAAGAACCAAGAACAATCAAAATCAAACGAAAGATCTAGCAAGAAACTCGACAAGATTTAGTCAAAACCACGGATTGTAAACCATTGACTTGAAAAACGAACAACTGGGAACGAACCAAGAACGAAACCAAGTCCAATGAATGGTTAAAGACTCATTTTTCGCCAACAATGCTACTGAACATGTCAAACGAACCTAACCAAAAGATCATGCTAGATTTCTCCTCAGATCATCAATGTCATTCAAGAAATTAATAAAGATTTAGTCGAAAGAACAAATCATCAACAATCAGATTGACAAAATTAAGATTGTGAACTAACAAAGAACGAGTCGAAGTCAAACATTTGAATAAAGACTCAGTTTTTCTTCGATGGTGCGATTGACTGCTTCAAATTCACATCTATCGAGCCTCAAACCCGAATCATTCATGATTGAACTGAACACATAAAGCTAAATCCTTAAAGAATTTGAAGCAGTAGTAAGAATTTAAAGATCAAATTATTATAAGACTTCCATTAATTTGACTAAGAGGCTGTTGGTTGGTTTTCCATCAAGTCCTGTATGAATGAAGCTGACTGTATGGATTAATCTGTCTGTATGGATTAGGAAGATTTTTGTTTGGGAAGGTTTTTTCATGGATGAAAGGAGCATGTTTTTCAAATGGGAGATGAAAGGTTTAGAATTTTTTTGGCTTTCTACATAAAGCTCCCTCTAGAAGCTTATTGATTAAGTCACTTTCTATATCATTAGGCCACTACCAAACGGTCATATATAGCTGACCAAACAAGCCGTGAGTCCCATTAAGCTGCTACCAAACGGTCATATATATAGCTGACTGAATTAGCTGTGAGTCTCGTTAAGCTGCTAACAAACGGAAATTAATCATTGGACATCAAAGTCAAATACCATCACAAGATAGTTTGTTTATAAAACTGAAAAATAATTCTCTAACTTTTCAATTGCTCAGAAACAAACTTCAAAAGTTCGAAGCAATTGTAACAGAACCCAATTCAAATTGAAGTTAATCAAGAACCCTAAAATGAAATGGTCAAACAATTAATATCAAGACAGCATTTCCCACACGTCAAAATTAATTTTTATAGAATTATAAGAGAAATTGGTAGAATTTGAAACAGAAAGAATCGGTCAAACAATTTGAAAACAAAACAGCATTTCCCAAAAGTCAAAAATCTTTCTAAAAATTTCAAATAAATCAACAATAAATAGATCAAACCTGCAATTTTTAACCATTTTACAATAACCCATCTCAAGTAAGATCAGGTCAACAGAAACCCTTCAATGATTTGATCAGATAGCACACATCAGATTCAAAATAGATGACTTAAAAGCCATCAAACATAGAGAAATCCATTAAGATTTTTTCATCGATTTTAAGCTATTAGAAATTGAAACGAAAAGATGATGAAAAGGGGGGGAAATTACCTTCCATAGTAGGTCTAGGGCAAACAAATCCATCATTAACAAGAGAGATATTTGTTGGCATAGGAACATCAGGTGGCCCGACTCCGAATTGCGTACCCAAAAAATCAACCTGAACAGACATTTGATTCACATCTCCAGCAGTTTCAATGGCAGTCTTGAGATCAGCACTTGGGAATCCAGCAAAAACAGTCCCGTTTCCAACCGGACCGGGAAGAGTAGCGGACCCATCAGCAATCACGGCGTTAGAAGATGAGACCAAATACTCATCGTGCTGAAATCCAACAAAAACCCTCCATGATTTGAGCTCTTCATCGGCGTTGTTGAGGACCCTGAGGGTTGATTCGAAGCGGTAGGGTTGGTTTGATGTTCGTTCTGGTGGAAGCTGGGATCCGGAGGTGTAAGTATAGGATAAGAAGATACCGTTGCAGGAATCGGAAGCGGGTGGCGGCGGCGCCGATGGAGTTTGGGCGGTGGTAATGGTGGTGAGAAGGAGGAGAGTGGCGAAGATGAGAGAGAAGGTGGAAGCCATGTTTGAAGAGAGAAAGAGAAAGAGGAAGAAAAGCGTATGTAAAGAAGAGGGAGGTGAGATGTGAATTGGGCGAAGACACGGACACAGCTTGTTTGCAGCTGTATTTGGTCTTTAATTTTATACAAGATTTGTTTTTTCATTTAATTAAATTAAAATATATATTAACCATTAAATTAATTAAAATATATATTAATATATTATTATTGGTAACAAAGTTTTAGAAATTAGTTTGAAATTAATCACTAATTTGAAGAACAAAATCATTAAAAAGTCGTATTTTTATTAATTAATTATTAAAGTTAAAAAATATTTTACATTAAATACGAATTATATATTTTTTAAAAGAAAATAATGGATTTTTTTTCTTCTTAAAAAAATAACGAATTATATTTATAAAATATGCGTATTTTTCAAAAAAAACTTTGAAAAGGTAAAGGATTTTTGAAAGAGTAAACTACGGTTTTAGTCCCTGTAGATTGTCTAAAATTGCTATTTTCATCTTTTCAATATTTAGATTACATTTTATGTCCCTGTATTTCACAATTTCTTTTGTTTTCGTGCATTTGAGACTAACTTCGTTAGAAAATTTGTTAAATATTTGGTCATTTCATTTGTCTTTGTTTTCCCTTTTATTAATTAAATAATATTGTAATAGTACAAGTTTTCTGCCACCTGCATACGAAGAAGAGAAAGTAAAAGAAGCCCTTTCAAAAACCCCCGTTGTCTCCAAGACTCGTCATCTTCAAATTGAATAACATGATCTTCATAACTAGCTTTGTTGTGGATCTAACAACACGCCTCGAATCCATGGATGGAGACTCGAATGTGCTGATTCACCAACCTCACTACTTGGAAATATGTTCAAAAAACCATGTCTGAAAAAGGATGAATCGTTGTTGAAAAGAAATCTATGGGTAATATAAACATAGCTGGGAGTTTCTTCAAGTATGAATCAAGCGAATCTAAACTCTGTTTTGAGCCAAAGAAGGGTTATCTTATACACTCAAAACTCTCGTAAAACATAGTATATTACAATAACTGCATCCATCTATCATCTCTCGAGATTATAATAATGTTGCATTTTTTGTTGGTTTAGGATGTTACAAATGATACCAAAGTCGTGAACTGCACTAGTGTGGGCTCCCAAGGGGGTGGATTGTAAGATCCCACATGGGTTGGGGAGGGGAACAAAAGTTACCTTATTAGAAACAGAATACCTCCTCTATTAGACATGTTTTAAAATAGTAAGTTTAGATGTGGACAATATCTGATTCGGTTGGCCTGAGATGTTATATTTTTCTATGAAGAAGACAAAAAAAAAAACCAATTAATGCAATTTCTCTAAAGAAAACTCCCAGTTCACTTAACTACGAATTGTGATGCTTTTTCTCTCAAGAAAACCAAATCCTAATTCACGTAACTGAGGAATTCCAACTACGACTTTCTCTTTAATACTTGAATCTAACTCTTGTCAAAACACGCTCAATTGTGGATAGTTGTTTGTATTTATTTGAAACCCTGTACCAATTTGATGGGTATCTAGGAAAAACCCATTAGTTGAACGATAAACAGAGACCAGGATTTGGTAAGGTGTTCATCGAGGGGAAGAGTGAGGGTAGCTCATCAGAGTTGGATGATAGAGGGGAGCGGGCGGCAGAAAAGAAGGGTTTTCTTGGGGTTGGATATATACATCCAAATATTTATAACTTCGAATAAAAAAATAAAAAGAAATTATAAAAAGATCAAATAACCTTCATTTAACGGACTTCTCAATGGAGTTAGTCAAAAGAACGATCAACATAATTTGAAAAGTGTAAGGATGAAAATAGAAACTTTTGACAAACTACAGGGACCAAAAAACATAGTTTAGTCAATCTTTTTAAAAAAATGTTAACGTTGGGGGTATAATCAATGATGTTTGGGAGTGGGCCGCTACTCGCTTTAACGAGACCATGAAACACATCTTTAGAAATTGTCGTACGCACCTTTTTATCTTATTTTATATTTTATATTATTACTAGAAGCGTACTCGCGCAATGCAGCGAGATACATCGGGATTTTAATTTCATTTTATTCTTTATCTCAATCGATATATAATATGACTTTATGTGATTTTGAGAAATCGATGATGTTTTAATTTTTGAATAAAATATATGTTTGAAGATATCAATAAAATTTGATAAAAATATATCGATATTAGTATTAAATTARCTATTTGAAATTCCTYATTTTTTTGTGTAATTTTTTAATTCAATTTTTTTATAATTTAATTTATGTACAATAACGAAGTAATTTATATTTGGTTTAAAAATATAATTGTTTTATAAAGATAATAATTATTTATTTTGTTGGAACTCGATAATTATTCTAATTATATTTTAGATTTTTATATTTTAAAATGAGATGTTCATCCTTTATTTGATTATGTTTATCCGCAGTTATTTATACAAATTCAAACATCGAGCTTTAATAAGTTGTACTTATGCATAATTACTTGTAATCTTGAATTT